CTGGGGGGACACTGGGGACACTGATGGGACACTGGGGGGACACTGGGGTCATGGGGGGCTCTGTCCCTGTCCCAAAGGGTCAGTGACCCCCCTGTCCCCCCCTGTGCCCCCCCAGGTGGACCCCGATAGCCCCCGGCACGGCGGGGAGCTGGTGGGACCCTGGGGACACTGGTGGGACACTGGGGGGACACTGGTGGGACACTGGGGGTCTATCCCTGTCCCAAAGGGTCGGTGACCCCCCTGTCCACCCCCAGGCGGACCCCGGTAGCCCCCGGCACGGCGGGGAGCTGGTGGGACACTGGGGACACTGGGGGGACACTGGGGACACTGGGAGGACACTGGGGACACTGGTGGGACACTGGGGACATTGAGGGGCCCTATCCCTGTTCCCAAAGGGTCAGTGACCCCCCTGTGCCCCCCCAGGCGGACCCCGGTAGCCCCCGGCACGGCGGGGAGCTGGTGGGACCCTGGGGACATGGGGGGACACTGGTGGGACACTGGGTGCTCTATCCCTGTCCCAAAGGGTCAGTGACCCCCCCTACCCCCCCAGGCGGACCCCGGTAGCCCCCGGCACGGCGGGGAGCTGGTGGGATACTGGGGACACTGGTGGGACCCTGGGGACACTGGTGGGACCCTGGGGACACTGGGGGGACACTGGGGGGACACTGGTGGGACATTATGGACAGTAGTGGGACACTGGGGGTCTATCCCTGTCCCAAATGGTCGGTGACCCCCCTGTGCCCCCCCAGGCGGACCCCGGTAGCCCCCGGCACGGCGGGGAGCTGGTGGGACACTGGGGACACTGGGGGGACTCTAGGGGGACACTGGTGGGACACTGGGGGTCTACCCTGTCCCAAAAGGTCGGTGACCCCCCTGTGCCCCCCCAGGCGGACCCCGGTAGCCCCCGGCACGGCGGGGAGCTGGTGGGACCCTGGGGACCCTGGGGACACTCTGAGGGGACACTGGGGGCTCTATCCCTGTTCCCAAAGGGTCAGTGACCCCCCTGTCCCCCCCTGTGCCCCCCCAGGCGGACCCCGGTAGCCCCCGGCACGGTGGGGAGCTGGTGGCCGAGGTGCTGCGGGCGCACGGGGTGCGGTTCCTGTTCGCCCTGCCCGGCGGGCACATCTCGCCCGTGCTGGTGGCCTGCGAGAAGCTGGGGATCCGCGTGGTGGACACGCGCCACGAGGCCACCGCCGTCTTCGCCGCCGACGCCGTGTCCCGGCTCTCCGGTGGGGCACCGGCGCCTTCCCGGGGTGGGGGGGGTGGTCGGGAGGGTTTGGGGGCTTTGGGGGTGGCCAGGACCCCGTTTGTGTCCCCCCCTGAAGGTGATTTGGGGTCTCTGGTGGGGTCAGGACAAGGAGGTGACCCCACGGCCCAGTTGGGGGGGGTCCCCACCTTGGTGGCTCCTGGTTGACTTGAGAAGGTTCCAAAGACTTTGGGGGTCTCCAAGGTCCTTCCAGGGTGGGTTTTGTCCCCCCTGAAGATGATTTGGGATCTCTGGTGGGTCAGGACGAGGAGGTGACCCCACGGCCCAGTTGGGGGGGGTCCCACCTTGGTGGCTCCTGGTTGACCCCAGAACCCACCTTGTTGCTCTCCAGGGTGTGTTTTGTCCCCGTTTGTCCCCCCTGAAGATGATTTTTGGGATCTCTGGTGGGGTCAGGACGAGGAGGTGACCCCATGGCCCAGTTGGGGGAGGTCCCACCTTGGTGGCTCCTGGTTGACCCCAGAACCCACCTTGTTGCTCTCCAAGAAGGTTTCAATGACTTTGTGGGTCTCCAAAATCATTCCAGGGTGGGTTTTGTCCCCCCTGAAGATGATTTGGGATCTCTGGTGGGGTCGGGACGAGGAGGTGACCCCATGGCCCAGTGGGTGGAGGGTTTTAGGATGTCCCACCTTGGTGGCTCCTGGTTGACCTGAGAAGGTTTCAATGACTTTGGGGGTCTCTGGGATCCTTCCAGGGTGGGTTTTGTCCCCCCTGAAGATGATTTGGGATCTCTGGTGGGTCAGGATGAGGAGGTGACCCCATGGCCCAGTTGGGGGGGGTCCCACCTTGGTGGCTCCTGGTTGACTTGAGAAGGTTCCAAAGACTTTGGGGGTCTCCGGGATCCTTCCAGGGTGGGTTTTGTCCCCCCCGAAGATAATTTGGGATCTCTGGTGGGGTCAGGGCGAGGAGGTGGTGGAGGGTTTTGGGGGGTCCCACCTAAAACTCGCCCTCTCCCCCCACCCAGGTCGCATCGGGGTCGCCGCCGTCACCGCCGGCCCCGGCGTCACCAACGCGGTGACGGCCGTCAAGAACGCCCAGATGGCCGAGTCCCCCCTGCTGCTGCTGGGCGGGGCGGCCGCCTCGCTCCAGAAGGTGGGCACGCCCCAAAAAACACCCCCAAAACCAACCCCAAAAACCCACCCCAAAGTCATCCCAAAACCCAACCCAAAACCGCCCCAAAACCACCCCAGAACCACCCCAAAAACCCACCCCGAATATGCCCCAAAACCGCCCCAAAACCAACCCCAAAAACCCACCCCAAAACCGCCCCAAAAACACCCCAAAAACCACCCCAAAAACCAACCCAGAACTGCCCCAAAACTGCCCCAAATCCACCCCAAAACCACACCAGAACCACCCCAAAAACCCACCCCGAAAACGCCCCAAAAACCCACCCCAAAGTCATCCCAAAACCCAACCCAAAATCCTCCCAAAAACCAACCCAGAACTGCCCCAAAACCACCCCAAACCCGCCACAGAACCGCCCCAAAAACCCACCCCGAAAATGCCCCAAAACCACCCCAAAAACCCACCCTGGGATGGAAGCCTGGCTGATCCCAGAATTCCCTGCCGATCCCGGAATTCCCAGCTGATCCCGGAATTCCCAGCTGATCCCGGAATTCCCAACTGATCCCTACATTCCTGGCCGATCCCGCCATTCCCTGCCGATCCCACCATTCCCGGCCGATCCCACCATTCCCTTCTGATCCCGCTATTCCCAGCTGATCCCAACATTCCCTGCTGATCCCACCATTCCCTGGTGATCCCAGAATTCCCACTGATCCCAGAATTCCCGGGTGATCCCGCCATTCCCTTCTGATCCCGGAATTCCCACTGATCCCGGAATTCCCGGCTGATCCTGGAATTCCAAGCCGATCCCGGAATTCCCTGGTGATCCCGCCATTCCCAGCTGATCCCGGAATTCCCTTCTGATCCCGGAATTCCCACTGACCCGGAATTCCCTGGTGATCCCGGAATTCCCAGCCGATCCCGGAATTCCCTGGCAATCCCACCATTCCCTGCTGATCCCGACATTCCCGGCTGATCCTGGAATTCCCTGGCGATCCCGGAATTCCCTGCCAATCCCGGAATTCCCTGGTGATCCCGGAATTCCCTGGCGATCCCGGAATTCCCAACCGATCCCACCATTCCCTGCCGATCCCACCATTCCTTTCTGATCCCGGAATTCCCAGCCGATCCCGGAATTCCCATCTGATCCCGGCATTCCCGGGTGTCCCCGCAGGGCCGGGGGGCCCTCCAGGACATCGAGCAGCTCTCGCTCTTCCGGACCCTCTGCAAGGTCTCCGTGTCCGTGGGGACCGTCCGGGACATCGTCCCCACCCTGCGCGGGGCCATCGCCGCCGCCCAGAGCGGGACCCCCGGTGAGGGACCCCCCAAAAATAACCCCGGGGGGGACCCTAAAAACCAGCCCCGGGAGGGAAACCCCAAAAATAACCCCGAAAATGAACCCTATGGGGGAATCGTCCCCACCCTGCGCGGGGCCATCGCCGCCGCCCAGAGCGGGACCCCCGGTGAGGGACCCCCCAAAAATAACCCCGGGGGGGACCCTAAAAACCAGCCCCGGGAGGG